TGTGTGTGTGTGTGTGTGTGGTGTGTATGTGTGTGGTGTATATGTGTGTGTGTGGTGTGTGTGGTGTGTATGTGTGTGTGGTATATGTGTGGTGTGTATGTGTGTGGTGTGTATGTGTGTGGTGTGTATGTGTATGTGTGTAAGTGTGTGTGTGTGGTGTGTCCACACTACAATGTGCATGCATTTGGAGGTCAGAATACAGTCTGGATGTGGGCCTCACCTCTCACCTTGGTTGTAGGCAGGGTCTCTCACTGTTCCTGCTGCTATACTGTGTGTCCCAGGCTAGCTGGCCTGGAAACTTCCAGAGCCTCTCCTAGCTGGGCCTCCCATCCTGTCACAGGAGTGTGGGGACTAAGTAAGCATGGTTTCACCTGGCTTTGTGTAGATTCTCGGGCCTGGGACTCGGGGCCTCATGCTGGAGCAGCAAGGCTTAACCGCTGAGCTTTTCCCAAGCCCATATTTTGCTATTAAAAAGAAAACAAACAATAACAACAAAAACACAAACTCCAGGCGGTGGTGGCGCGCACCTTTAATCCCAGCACTAGGAGGCAGAGCCAGGCAGATCTCTGTGAGTTCGAGGCCAGCCTGGGCTACAGAGCAAGATCCAGAACAGGCACCAGAAACTACACAGAGAAATTCTGTCTCAAAAAAAAAAAAAAAAAAAAAAAAGACAGAAAAAAACCTCAGTGAGCAACTTGATCATTCTTGACTTGTTGCTGCCAAAGTTGTACTTAAAGTTCCATTTTTACACACCAAACGTGGAGAGAAAAGAAGAACATTTTGAAACAATCACAGCTTTCTTAAGTCAGTCTCTTGCTCCCTTCAATAAAGTTGATTCAATACCGCAACTACAACCATGATTCCATTGTTCAAAAACAAAAATAAAATCTTCAGTCTTCAAAGTTTTGACGTTTTCCACTGCTATTCTATTTCTGCGTCTTTCCTAACATGTAATTCAGGCATTTGACTGAATTTAAAATAGCAGAATCATTGGCAGCTCAAAACTTCATTTGTGCAGCAGAGGTTTGAATGACTTGGGAGGTTTGTCTACACTTCAGTGCTTTATTATTTACTTTTTTATTTGAGCCTTTTCCCTCACTGTAGTTGAATCCTAAGACCTGCTTATGTCACTGGCAGTGGGTGTTCATCTGTGACCTCAGTGTACCCTACCTGTTAGCACACTGGTATGATGTGGTCTGTAGACTTTTCAACAAACAAGTATAATTAATGCCACTGGGACTAGTGACTTTGCTTTTAATTCAGATCGAGCAGGAACTGACCTAGAAAGGATTTGATTCAGGAGTATGAATAGCATGAGATCACACGGCCATCCATTTTGTACTTGCATCTGACTAGAAATGTACAAGCTAGTTTGTTTTTCTCTTGGAATGAAAACTTTAAGTTTTGTTATACCAAAGCATCTCTGTGTGAAGTCACAGGTAAAAGTGAAATCCATACAGGGAGTTTAAAGGTTGCGCACACACTCACACACATACACGCACACACAGAATCTATTGGGATCCTTTGGTATGTTTCAGAACCTTTGATCACCATCTTCAACTTAGAGAAGGCCAAAACAGACACACTTTACATGCATATTTATTTGGATATCATGTTAGAAAATCAAGTTAAAATCTGATTAAAAAAAAAAGAATCTATGTATCTATGAAAATTCTCACTGTAATTCATGGTACTAGCAATTACTCAGTGACAACTGCATATTAATAACAATAAACCTATTACTTATTTTTCTAGTTTGCCCAAATAATTCTCAGACCATTGACAAAAATCATAGGTAGACATGTATAAATGAACTTTTCTTCTTCTGATGCAGTGCAGACCACATTTATGCTGGAAACTTGAGATCCCAGATTTGTCCTGTGATATGGAGCCTTGAAGTCATTTCCTTTATTTTTACATCCAAATTTCGGTTGTCTCAACTGGCACTCTCCCAAATGGACAGATGCCTCCAGTTGTGTCTGCCGGCATGGTTGCGGGGAACACCACCAATCCAGTCATTACAAAGGACTCTTTCCTCGTTATATCCCCACTATTTTTCTTTTCAAAGCATTTCCTAAGTTTGAAATGTTGTGAAAACCCTAGACTCTGGAGCAAAAAAAAAAAATGCTACTTTTAAAAACAAGCTTTTGTTGTATTTTCTTAGGGTAAAGGTAATATATGTTCATCACAGAAAAGGCAAATAAGCAAAACAAAGGCGAGGAAAACCATAGAAATTTAACTCACCGAGGGAGCCATGGTTACAGTTCACACACATCTTCTAGTTCTTTCTCTGTGCACATAAAAAAAAAAAAAACACTTAAACTGTATTGTACACCCTGTGATTGATGTATTAAAACACCCCATGTTATAATTGGTTTTTCAGTCAACATTATATTATAAATATCTCTCATGTCATTATTCTTTTACAGTATTCTTTGCATTGGTTAGACCATATTTACTGAACCAGTCCCAATTGCTTGTCTTTTAAGTTTTTTTTTTAACTTTTATCTTTTCTTTTTCTGTTCTATAAATAATTCACTGAAAGAACATCTGAGCTGCTATTATCAAGGGCATTTTTATGTTAAAAAAAAAGCTAAATTATTTAAAGTGTAGAAAAATGCTTTGGTGCTGAAATAAGGTAACTGACAAGACAAAATGATTGCATGTGAGGCTGTCTTTGTGTGCTTAGGCAGCCTCCTTTGTAAGGGTCCCAGAGGTCACAGACACGTGACCGAGTCACTGGAAGAGGTGAAGCCTGTGTAAGTCAGATTTCTATTGCTATGACAAGTATCTGGGGGAAAGCAGCTTTCAAGGAGAATCACATTGGCTTGTGGTTTTAGAGGATCTGGTTCAAGTTCAGGTGGACCTCCCAGACTCACCAGTGCTTGGTGGCAAGGCAAGGGAAGTAAAGCTGCTTACCTCCTGGCCAGGAAGCAAGGGACAGCAAGAGGAAGGGGTCCGCTAGCTCCCAGGATCCCATTCAATACTATGTCCTCAGTGAACTAAAGACCTTCCCCGTTGCCCTGCCCCTTAAAGGTTCCCCTCTGTGATAGAACCACTTTGAATATAAAGATCTTACAATGCAGGTCTTTTAAAAGGGACCCTGAAGAGCCAAGACACAGAAAACCCCATGTAGAGAAAAATCAACAGCCCCCAAGTGGACTACGACGTAATACAATGAATTGAAATAAATTATAGAACCACCTGAAAGGGGAGCCATTCTCTTACCTGTTTGTTCCTGTGGCAAATCCAAAGCAATTCAGTATAATTTTCCATTTACCCATATACTAAATTCCATACGACTCCGTTTTATTTCTTTTTCCACTCTCTAAGTGTTGTCTTTTTGATCACGCAAATTGTTGTATAGATTAAAGTTGCCTCAACAATCAACCCTTCTTACCAGGCATGCCATCTCCAACCACACTGAAGAAGTCTGAGAAGTCTGGTTTCAGCAGCCCCTCCCCTTCGCAGACCTCCTCCCTGGGAACAGCATTCACACAGCATCACCGACCTGTCATTACAGGACCCAGAGGTGAGTTGCTCCACAGAGATCCACATGCTGTCAACATCATAATGTTGAGATCAGAGGGGCAAAGTGGGGAGACAGTGAGGACTCCCCTTACAGTAAGTGATCCAATTCTTATATTTGAAGGTAGTCTCAAATTTTAGGAACCAAAGAGATTCAGCATCCGATCTTAAGTTTCAAAGATACAAAGCCAATCTTTTTCAGGGGAAGGGGCAGTGGGCTTTTGCAAAGAGGTAGGAAATACCTTGAACCAAAATTAAGTGTGCCCTCAAGTTGTGTGTGTGCACGTCTATGTGTATGTGTTTGGGTGAGTGCTTTTTCCATGTGGTCAGTTACCTATTTCTCACATAAATGTTTTTTCAGTCTCCCATCCTTACTGATTCTCTTCCCATGAAGCCCTATTTCCATATGTGGCATTTTGTGTTGAGGTTGTTGGCATTGGGGTGTTGATGAGTCGTCTTCATTCACTCCTTTTGAAGTGGTAGATAGTTTGTCTGGTTTTCATTGCAATGTTTTCCTTATTTTAGTCTCATGTGCTTTTAAGTTTATTATTAAAATGTGTCCACAAGAAATATGATTTGTATTTCACATTAAAGACAAGCCTTAAACCTCAAGAGAATGTCATCAAATCACTTAACTTGATTCTATTGCAAGATAAAAATATTTATTAGTTTATTTATAAAACCTCCACAGTAGAAGTATGAATAACTGTGACCATTTGCACCCTTCCATCAGATTGTCTTTTATATCTGTGATCTACCAGCTCACATTATAAAACACCAGGGAGAGTTACAGCCTCTGGTCTACTTTGACATATACCTGAGGAAACTGATATTTGTTGCATTAACTCAATGTTAGGGCCACAAATCAGAATCCATTGATAAATACTGTGATAGTCCCGAGGAAATGTGGTACTTGAGGTGAATGCACAGAGCACATGTGAAAAATCTCACTAAAAAAAAATAATAATAAGTATTCCATCATGGGAAGGCAATTTCTTTGTCAGTTAGGAAATTCGGTTGCTTCATCCTTGGAGATACTGTGGTCATTGTATGACTTTCTCATCAAGATCCCTGACTCTTCTTCATATGTACCTATAGCACAATCACTGATGTTTACCATGTATGCATACATATATGTGTGCACATACATATATATGGTATATGTATGTTGCTCATTATATCTAGAAACTTGAGAATACACATCTGAATAAGCCATTAAATTAGTTAGTATTATATCTTCTTATCATTAACATTTGTTGAGCATCTAAACTGTAGCAGGAAATGAGAGGTATGATGCTATTGTAAGTCAGAATATTGATGGTCCAAGAGAGATAGGCATATTATTTCTCATTTTTATGGTCAGTTTAACATATTCAAATGCTAAATGAATGTTAGGAGCAAATTTTTCTGCAGGACTCACAGGAGAGAGTTGTGGAGCTTCATTCATTTGCTCATTAAAGGTTTACTGAGTTCTTGTCACTGTAGAGATACTGGGGCCAGTGTTTCCTGTCCTCATAGAACAGAGCTGGAGAAAGGAAGTGAGCATTAAGAAAAGCTGGCGTGGAGTAGGCTACCATCACGTTGCATCAAATAAAGAGACTTAAAGAGTGGATAGCATTGAAGTGGAGTCTAAGAAGATTCCTATGAATAGCAACTATTCCAAGCAAAGGAAAAACCCCGAGGCTAGCAGGGCAGTGAAGATGGAGAAGAGCAGCATGCCAGCAGTCAGGAAGGCTGGAGAGGCTACCTCTGCATTCCCATTTATCTTCTGGTTTATAGCGCCCTCACCAATGTGAGGAGGCCATACCACTGGAGAATGAACCTTTCTTCTCAAGCTCATATTCTCATGTAAAAGTGACAATAGAGTGGTATTTTTGGAAACTGTCCGAAGAGCAAAAACAGTATACTTATATCATTCCTTATTCAAAAAATACCAAGGGTGTCTTGACTTCAGGCTGCGTTTCTATGAATTGTTGTGACTACCCAGCTCTTACCCCAGATGCCTAATGATTAAACTCACCGCCTAAGATGGCCCATACTGCATAGATGGCCAAATTAGTGCTGCCTTCCCTAAAATCCTTCATGGCAGCCAGAGAGCAGCAGGTGCGTGACACATCTCAGTGCTCAGGCCAGAAGCTTGATCTCTTAACAAAGCTATGGCAAAGCAAGGTCACTTGGCCTCCCCAAAAGATGGCTGTTTTCAGCTGCAAGCCTAATCTGTATTCGGGGATTTGGTGAGTGTCATTTACAAGGAGAACCTTTCTAGTTAAAGACTGCAAAGTGAAGGCAGAAAAATTGTACCTTGCTGGGGAGACAGAGCATCGTAATGACCATCTTAAAATATGTCAGCTGCTACAATGTAACACCACTGAGTAGCTTAGAAACAGCAAAGCCCTTTTTCTTCACATTGCTGGGGGCTGGAAAGTCCAAAGTCAAGGTGATGGCCAACTTGGTGCCTGGCAAAGGTCCACGCCCTGGTTTATAGATTCTGTCTTCTCACTATGTGGAGGGGCTAACCAGCCCTCTATGGCAGTGGCTTTCAACCTTCTGAATGCTGAGGCCCTTTAATATAATGCTTCATGTTGTGGTGACCCCCAACCATAAAATTATTTCACTGCTACTTCATAACTTTAATTTTGCTACTGTGATGAATTGTAATGTAAATATCTGATATGCAGGATCTCTGATATGTGACTGCTATGGGGGTCGTGACCCACAAGTTGAGAACCACTGTTCTGTGGCCTCTGGTTATTTCCATCTGTGAGGGTTACACCCTCATGATCTACTCAGCTTCTAAAGGCACCACCTTATACTCCAGTTTCTTTTCAGATCATGTAAATCCTTTGCCCTTTACTGAACGTCCCACCTCCAATACTATCTCATTGGGATTAAGATTTCATCACATGCATTTTGTGGGGGACAAAAGCCTCCAGTCTACAGCAGCAGTTAAGCACCAAACCTGGAAGGTCAAATGTGCCCATGTTTGAATCTGTGCTACCATTTATGCCAACTGTACTTCTCTGAGGTTCTATACCTAGAAAGAATTGTACTGTCAGAAGTAAATGCATATGTCTGTAGTCATTTGCAGTGTCTGAAAACAGATCATGCATACAAGTCGGACAAACCCCTTTCATCCAGGTTTTGAAAATCTCATGCTGTCCCCTGTTACCTTTGCCCTATTGACATCTTACCCATCCCCAAGCCCAGCTCACATATGGACTGAGCATCCTTCATCCAGAATGCTCAAGACCATAGTGTTTGGAATTTGGGATTCGCAAATGTTTGCACATATAACATGAAATATTTTGGGCATTGCACTGAGATTCATTCATGTTTTATATATACCTTATACACATAACCTGAAGCCCGTTTTATATAGTATTTTAACATACTTGAGTTTTGGCTACTGTTTAGCACATGGGGTCAGGTGTACTGTTCCCTACTTGTGTCGTCTCTGTGTTCAAAAGGTCTAGGGTTTTGACATGTTTCAGCCTTAGTGCTTTTAGATTAAGGATGTCCAACTTGCGTTACTTTGGACGGGAAGCCTCTTTAGCTGCATCTCCTTACCCTCCACAGCTCCTCCCATAGCTTTTCATGCCTGCACATTCTCTACTGTTGCCTTGCATTCTTAGCTAATGGTCAAGTCTGGTCCTCTCCTGAAGATATCCAGACACAAGGGTCTCCCACACATTGTATGTCTTCGTCCCTCACCGAGTAGATTTTACCTTATGGATAAATTGAAAGTAGTTAAAGTACACATAAATGCATACTCAAAAGGAATTCACACCCTACCCCCACCCCACCCTACCCACACACTCTGATAAATTCTCAGTGCTCCAGAATAAACAACACTGCTTCATAAGGAATATCCAAGATTGGGAGGGGGGGCGGGCATATCCTGTCTTCTAAAGCAAACTGTGGGAGATAAACTCAGCAAAGCTTTGGTACTGAATGCTCTGCCTTGTTTTAGTTTATGCTCTTCTGACCACTCTGCTGGGTGCATTGTAAAGGTAGAGGCATGCGGTTTCCTAAATCCAATCTCCTCCCTGGCAGTGGCTTTCTTTGTGGCTTTGATAAATCACTTAGCCTCGTGATCTCAGTTGGCCCATCCATACCTTGTGAATACTACTTTGACACCTATTTCTCTGTGTGGTTAGAATCAGGTAAAAGGGTTAAACTATGTTGGAACAACCTGGAGCAAGGAGAGTTACTGAAGCTTAACAAAGCCATTTCTGTCATTGTACACAGTTACACATGGTGGGCACTTAAAGCCCTCACCACCGCAACATATGTAATCATGGCAATGTATTTTACCTATGATAATGAAAAAGAGAACCTTTGCCCTTCTTCCTGTTGTTTCAAAGCTGTGAATTTGCCTGGTGCTCTAGATTCAGTTCTGAAACTGGTTTCACTCACAGCCTCTTTTTGGCTGAGAAGTCTCTACGTGACTTTGGGTATATAGACATATAAAATGGTATCTAATTCCAACAGTAACTGATAAAAAACCATAAAAAAATGTTTTAAACAATTTGTTGGTTAATATGTATTTTAGTAAAGACCAAAGCTAACTTGTCATGAATGAGATGGACATGCTTATTAATGCTTTTCCACACAGAATTAAATTTTGGCTGAATATTTGATAATGCATGACATGAAGCATCTTCAACATTTTTAGATTGAATCAGTACTTTAATTTTTATCATCAATTCTGAGACTGTCACCACACTCACATACACATATACACACACATATACATATATATGTAGTATAATTCCACAAATTGTTAGGAAATTTGTCCTAACTTAAAGCCAGAAGTCACTGAGTTTTTTTTTTATAAAGTTCATCAACTTTTAAGCCAAATATTTTAAACCAACTTTTAAAACTAAATATTCCAATATAATCCAGAGATGTATTAAAATGATACTTAAATACTGAGAAATGATGATAGAAAAATATTCTTTGTCTTCCTTAATCAAACCATTTTGTATCTATAAGAGCAGAAGA